CCTGAGACGGTCATGATATCGGAAGGCAGCTCAAAGAGGGGCCTGGCGAGCCCTCCAGAAAACCCTGTTTGATCCTCGGTCCAAACGGGGCTAGCGTTGGCACTGACAATGGTGCGTAGGAGTTGTGTTCCAAGTTTGAACAGTGCGTGGCACGGACTGACAATGGTGTAGGACAGGAGTCAGCAACCTGTGTGGCTCTGGAGCCGCATGTGGCTCTTTCATGCCTCTGCTGCGGCTCCCTGTTGCTGGTCGGCTCCACAATTGATAGGGCTTTCGGTTAGGACAGGTAGAGAAAAAAGGACGCTAGGAGAAGACACTATGGGGGAACCGGACTTCCGGTCGGCTCCAGAATTGAACGGGGGCTTCCGGTTAGGACCTTTGTGGCTCTTTGAGTGTTTAAGGTTGCCGACCCCTGGTGTCGGGGGGAAGGGGCTGTGTGTGCCTAATGTTAACAGTAACGGGGTTGGAAGGTCGTCTAGTCCAATCCCCTGCTCCCGCAGGAGACCTGCACCTAGGGATTCGAACCGCTGAACTGCTGACCTTTCTGATCGACAAGCTCAGTGTCTTAGCCACTGAGCCACCTAAGTCAGGCTCAATGAATTAATGGATCAAGGGAAAGAGTGAGTCAAGGCTGGTGAATATCTTTAGCCCAACTATAGCCGAATCTCATAGTCCTTCATGAGCAAGGCCTACTTCGGCTTACCCATCAAATAGGCTGCGTCGGTTGTGCGGGCTACACAACTGCCAGAGATCTGTGCGATGGGACACGGGCTGTATGTGTGTGTGTGTGTGTTTGAGAGAGATGGTAAAGCCGTTTGGCAAATGGCACTACCAACCGTTTGGGAATGTCAACCTTCGGATAGTTCATTGGTCAAATTTGTTTTTTTTTTTTGCTTTTCTGGCTGTTTTCCACGGCTCAGTGGTGACTTTTTCTGCCACTCTGTGGAACTCAGATTGGAGAAAGGGAGTCTGTCTCGCGTCTTCCCCAATAGCTTTGCCACGTCGGTGGGTTGTTCCTGGGGGAAACGTGGCTCAGCCACCACAAGTCGCGGACTGTCAAAAAAGGGGGAAAAAAAACACCCTTCTGCCCAAAACTTTTGGGTGGGAAAGCGCTGTGGGTTTCGCAGTGTGCTTGTGTGTTTTGCTTCGCTCCAACCTCTCGGTTGCTACGGAAAAAGTTGAGCCAATAAAAAGTCTCGTGTGTTGGTGGCCGTTGCACCTGCTTGGTTTGTCAGATGCTTTCACAGGCACAAGTGTGGGCAGCTCCTCTCTCTCTCTCTCCTCCTGTCTCTCTCTCTCTCTCTCTCTGCGGTGTCTGTCTGTCTGTCTCTCTCGCGCGTCCCCTTTGCCAGCTTGCCGAAGTTCAAATTTTGCACTGGGAAGTCCATATTCTCAGCTAGACACCAACGGCAAAAAAGTGTGATTTTGTTGTTTTTTGCCATGTTTGCAAAGCAATTACTCGGCAATTCTTTCACGGATTGGGAAACGCTTGAGAGGTCAGGTGCGTTTCGGGCAGACCTGGAGTCACTCCGGTTGGAAAAAAATAATGGGAGTTTTTTTGTTTACCTGCCTGGCTCTTCACATTCTTGGCAAGTGGGGGAAAAAGGTGCTTTCAGAAAATGAGAGAGAGAGAGAGGGAGAGAGAGAGAGACGTGTGTGGGGGGGTGGGAGTCATTTTTAAGGAACATGAACCAAAGTGCGCAGAGGGAAAATGTGAATGAGATTTCCTGCAAAGAGAACAGACTACGCGGCCCAGGGAGAGAATTTGCAAAGGGTTGGATGGAGTTGGGAAAAGGAACGCCTCGGCGTACGAATACCAGGGATTGTAGAGGGGGATGGGTTTTGGTAGAGAAAGAGCTTTCAGCAGGCGGGTGAGGGGGTGGTGGGGGGTGGGTTGGCTGGCGAGAGGCCATCTGGCAGCCGCGTCCCCCCCGAGCGTGGAAAGGTCTCCCAGGCCTTGACATTTTTGCTGATGTATTTCGAGCTCCTGCCAACTGTGCTATCACCTTGCCTGCCGATCTTATGAGGAGGCCTCGGCCTGAAGATGACGGGGTGGGGGTGGGGTGGCCCTCCAAAGCAGGGAGGTGGGGGAGAGAAGAAGCCTCTCTTGGCCTCCGACCATGCTTGGCTTTGCCACGGCCACGCAGGACCAGCCAGGCGTGTCCGACATGAACCTGCGTCAGCGAGGGGTTTTTGATAACGAGCCCCGTTTAAGAGCCGCGTGTGGGGAGTGACCTTCAGCGGGAACAGGCGCTGCCTTCCGTGGCACATCTGTTTGGAACCCAGAACGGGAATAAGGCGCCTATAAAGTCAGCTTTTGGGGTTCGGCGCGTGCCCCTCCTTTCCTTTTGAGCCCCACATCTCTCCTGTAACCCTTTGGGGGCTCCAAGATGCCTTCGCTGGCAGCCGGGGGACATCCTTAAAACCCACCAAATGGTTTGAGCACAAATCACTTGTGGGATGGGAGGCGACGACGTCGTTCTGGGAAGTGCATGATGGGGACTGCAGTGTGCTGGATAGCAGCACCATTGATCTTGCGTCGTTTTCTCGAAACACACTTTGCCTGCTTGTTTCGGGCATGTCTGGTCTCTCTGACGGGGGAGGGGAAGATGCGGCTTCTCCAAAGGGGTCTCGGACAACCTTTCTGGACGTCTGGTTATTTACCTAAAGAAGTGACTAGTGGCCGGTTTATTGGTAGCCGGACGTTTCCCACAAATTCAACTTTGTGACGGGAGGTCAGGAAGTCGAAAGGAAGAACCCACGAGAAGATTTGGTCCTTGTCTGCCAAGTCTGGTTGGTTGGTATTCAGTCAATTGGTTTGGGCTCTTATTTAATCAGTCTTCTTCATCTTGATTGTTACATTCCACCTTTTCTAAACCGTTTTGTCGCCCAGCCGGAATGGCCTTACGGATGAGACGGGCGGCAGGGAAGTTTAATTAATCAATAATAAACAAACAAACAAACAAACAAACCCATCCGTCCCAGAAGGAGCTCTTTTGCTAAGGCTATGAGATTTGCCATCTACCCTCCCATCTGCAAAAGAAATCTCCTTCCTGCAGAGCAGAAATGGGGGGGCGGGCAGGGGGAAGAAGGGGGAGCATCAGACTCCCCCCCAAAAAAAAGGGGATGGGAGGAAAGAACAGGCCCCTGTTCTGAGCTCCGCCACCTGCTTCTCTGCCCCCCCCCCCCTTTCAGCCATCCCCACAGACCGGGCTGGGACCGGCAGCATTTGCCAAATATCATTCGGATGCTGTCACCGTTTCCTTTTTCCTATGCAGCAGCAGGAGGAGGCGCAGCAGCAGCAAGAGAAGATCCCCCGTCAGCTCTGGTGTGCAAAACCCAGGGCAAACACCACAAACCCATGTTTGTTGGTTTAATCAAAGCAAAGGAGGTCTGGACCCGAGACCAGCCCCTTTTGTTGAGTGCACAGGGGCAAGTTTGGGAGACGAAGGTGTAGGGGGGAAAAAAAAGAAGGAAACCAGGCCACACTTTCTTGGCCTGGGTTAGATGCTCGGAATCCAGTTGCTTCTTTGGCCGCCTGATCTGGCTCCGAATTCCAGAAAAGCCAGCAGGTGGTCATGATAGGAAAGGGGGGGGGAGAGGGACGAAAATTGAGAAGGTTTTAGGTAGGTGGGATCCCTCGTAGCTCCTGCCTTATTGGAGCAGACGGGGATTTCATTCCTGCCCTGGGAGACCCCGTGTCAAGTGGGGGGGGGGAAGAGACCCTCGGAATGCGGCCCCTGGAAAAGTCTGGAGGTGGTGCCGCCAGAGGGCTCTCTCTCTCTCTCTCTCTCCCCTCCCCTCCCTGCACGGCCTGGTGATATATAGGCCGAGCGGAACGACTGGTGGAAGAGGCGCAAAGCAGGAACTCGGCAAGCGGCCAGCAGAATCTGCTGCAGCTGCGGCATTGTGAAGTCATCGCCTTAACAACCGCTGCAAACAGAATAACAAAGTCTGGGCTGTTCGCATCGCGAAGGGGAGAAAAAGACCTTGCGTGCCGATTCCAGAACCAGCCGCCCCGTCTTCAAGGCTCACCTTCCCCTCTTCCAATTAGCCAGGCGGGCAGTTTTGCAAGTTCTTTTGGCTGGGTCGTTTCCTCCCTTTCCCCCCGCCCCCCTTAAATCTCATCCTTTTAAGAAAAAGCATCTCACTTCTAATAGAACGATGGTTTTATTAATGCATCTTTTGAGAAGTATTCAGTTTCGGGGAAAAGTCAGCACTGAATGCCTCTCCCGATCGGACACAGCGGCTGCACCATCAATTTTAATAGATTTTCCCAAAACTTGAAGGGGACCTAACCCCCCCCCTTCCCTCCCCTCAAAGCTGGTACAAGTTTCCGCTGAAATATAATTAAATAGATCGTGTCTCCTCGTGGACTGGACCCGTGGTGCCAGGGGATTTGACCGTGGCTTAATTTTGGCAGCGAGCTGAGCTGGTTTGCCACTCTTTTTTTTTCCTGCAATATATGGAGTTCAGATTTACGAACCGTTTAAAACACATTCTTTCAAAGGTTGGTGTTAGGTGGGCTTGAACTGACGGGATGCGTTTTTCGGAGACCTCTGTTGTGCTCAAAAGTGGACTTTTTGGTATGCCGAGGGACAGAAGAAAAAAATATATATCTGTATTTGCAGCATCAAGACAAGTTTGGGCTTTTAAAGTCTTGGAACGAGCCCCTCATGCCGAATTTTGAGTTACACCTCTTTGGAAACATAGCGGTCTTGTTCCGACACCCTGCAGGGACTTAATGAAGCCATTTTAGGATGCTCGTGTTTTTGAGTTTTTAACCTCAGACCCAATTTTCTCTTCCTCGTTCTCTGGCGAAGGAGCAAAGTGGAGTCCTTATTAATCAGGGGGGGAAAAAGCAGCTTTAATGAGGCTGTGGAAGGGGCTTCAAATGGGATCCTGTGGCCGTAATATCAGCGTTTGTTTTGATGGACGTTCGGGTTTTTTTTTTTAAATGCAGTGGAAAATAGCCAATGTTGTCTTCTTTTCCCCTTCAGGTCCCGTCCGATCCTCCTGTCCCCAAGAAACCCAAAACAGACGATGCCCTGCAGTCTCCTTTACTGGGGGACAAAGAGAAGCAGTCCAGCTGGCTACGATCCTTGTCAAATTCATCCAGTAAGGTGAGTTTTGGGAAAGCTTGTCAGGTTTTGAAGGCTGAAAAGGGGCAACGCTCCCCAAACCCCCCCCCCCCCAAATCTTCCTTTTTTGGCCCGAGTTGGGTGGATGGAGCCAGGGATGGAGCCTCGGGTTGGATTTGAGAGTCTGGCTACTTTTGCATTGACTTCAAGGGTGGGATTTATTCAAAAATTTTAGCAACAGGTTTTCTGCCCAGTTGCTGAGTGGCGTGGCTATGGTGGGCGTGACCTACTCAGCCTCCTGCACCACGGCAGTGGGGGTAGGGGAATGGTTTTGCCCTCCCCAGGCTCTGGAGGCTTGCTTTGAACCTCCGGGAGGATGAAAACAGCCTCCCCCGGGCTCCGGAGGCCCTCTGGAGGCTAGAAATGGGCCCATTTCCAGACTTCTGGGAGGCCCGTTTTTTGCCCTCCCAGAGCCTCTGAGCAGGCCTTGCACTTACCTGACATCCAAAACGGGCCGCGTGGAGACTCCTGGGAGGGGCAGGGTAGGGTGGGAGGGACCAGCCTGTCCTTGCAACTACCGGTTCGGAGAACCAGATGTAAAATTAGCATCCGATTCACCCAAACTGGTCCGAACCGGCTGAATCCCACCCCTTGATACATTGGAGTGTGATATTGCTCCAGCAGGCTCTACATCCTGGCTTCTGTGCGGTACTCTCACAAACCTTTGTAGCATTTACCCAAAGATTCAGAAAATCCGGATCTACAAAACTCGATCCCTTTCCAGTCTGGCCTTCAGCCGCTCGTTCACTATATCTTTGTTTTCTCCATTTGTCTCTTACTGGTTTTCTTTTTCTCTCTATTTTTTTTAAAAGAATATTGGGTGTCTCCATCCCCGGCAGCGTCTTTCTGCATTCCGGCCCTGGTCCCCCGCAGTTTCAGCCAGCGAGAAAGATGTCACCAACCACATCCCTACGTTGATCAGAGACAGGTAAGGAGAAGCGGAGTTTCCCCCCGGGGCCGAAATTTGAAGGCCGTTAAATTTAGTAGGCAGCCAGGTGCGCTACTTGAACGCAAGGGCTCCGAAAAGTATCCCACAGGGTGGATCAACGCCACAAGATCTTAATATCTTGACACAAATAAGACACTACAGACAGAACCAGGGTACAAAATTAAGACTTTGGAGCATAAAATTAAATATCACACGGTTTGAGCTGGAGAAGCTGATGGGTCAGATGAATAAATTGTGCCTTTGGTCTATGGTCACTTCAATTGCTCTGCAATAGCTTGCAGTTTAATTGAACAACTAATTAATAGTTCCTTGATTTGCACGTGCCTACTAAAGGACATAAGATAGTCCTTGACTGACAACAGTTCATTTAGTGACCACTGGAAGTTACCACGGCACTGAAAGAAGTGACTTGTGACCAGTTTTCACACTTAACAACCATGGTCCCCATGGTCACGTGATTGCTTGGCAGCTGGCTCATAATTATGACGGTTGCTGCAGTGTATGTGTGGGTGGGTGCGACCTTCTGACAAGCAAAGTCAAATGGGGAAGCCAGGTTCATGTTACTCATTTAACAACGGTGACCAGAAAGGGGGTAGAATGGGGCAAAAATTCACTTGACTATCTCGCTTAGCAACAGATTTTGGGCTCAATTGTGGCCGTAAGCCAAGAACTACCTGTATATTTCCTAACTTTTAAAAAAAAGATATACCGAAGTTGCTTTGCCTCTTTAAAATTTTGGAGTAGCAAAATAAGAATTTAGTTTGCCCAGTGAAGAAGTGAACTTTTCAAAGCTGGCAATTAAGCCTTTTCGATGACTCATTGCGTTAATGAGAGATGGCACGGAAACCTTCCCAAGGAGCGATCTTCGAGGGAAGCGGATGAGTCACCCCAAAATAGCTTTGTGGGGGCTGCGAGGTAACCCAGCCTTCTTTTCTTGCGCAGTTTCTATTCGTATAAAAGTTTTGAGAACTCCGTCGCACCCAACGTGGCGCTGGCCCCCCCTCCTCAGCCAAAGATCGTGAGCAACCCACTGTGCCCCCCAGCTGCCTTGCGGAATGCCGAGCCCCTCAGCAGCCCTCCTCAACTCCGGAAAAGGAAACACGTCGTCGCCGAACACCCAGCCGTGCCCGAACCGACACCCACCGTCGCTGCCGTGCCCGCCGTCGCTGCTCCCGCTCCTGCCGTGGAAGAAGAGAAAGAATCCGAAGCCGAGATAGAAGTGGAAACGCGAGAAGAATGTAAGTGGGATTTTTTCGGGGGAGAAAAATCCTTGGCCTCTTTGGCTGAGAAAAATGGATTTGGTGGTCAAATAATTGTCAAGTACCAGGAAAATCAGGCGATCCAGGCAGTTCAAAAAATTATTGTAAGCTCTCTACAAGAATCCGAACTACTAACAGTCAAGGGAAATTAGCGGGAGATAAGAATAAGAAGGAATTCAAGGTGGGCTGGGATTAGATCTCTTGTGGGAAGAGACTCATGACGCGTTTGACGCCTCCCTCCCTTGAGCTCAGCCTGGTTAGCTCCTACAATAATTTTACGTTAAAACCATCCTTCCAATAGGTAGAACTTTTTTTTTTTTTTAAGAAGCAGACTGCCTTTGGAAGGAGGTCCTGGGGCTTCAGATCTGTCTGGAGAAGGTGGCCAGACAGAGAACGGGACTTCCCTTGAGTGTTGTCCAACACCACAATTCTGTAAGGTTGAAAGAATGCTGGTCTTGGCTTCACAGAGTCAAAATAGGCTTCCCACCAACGCTGTGTTTCTTTTCACGCGCACTCACTACCTTTATGGTTATAGCGCATGACCGTGAAACAGGGTTTGACTTATGCATCCCACAATCCCCACATGTTGCCCGGGGATGGGATGCCTGATTGCCACAGCTTCTTTCCTTCTCTCTGCAGTCACTTCTTCCCTGTCCTCGCTCTCGTCCCCGTCCTTCACCTCTTCGAGTTCAGCCAAGGATATGAATTCCCCCAGCCTGCAAGTCCAGCCTGCCGCCGGCAACGCCGTCTTTGAAGTGTCAAGTCACGCCGAGCCTCAGAACGGGCCCAACGGGCTGGAAGCCGAGCTGGAGCATCTGAGGCAGGCCTTGGATGGCGGTCTGGACACGAAAGAAGCCAAAGAGAAATTCCTCCACGAGGTGGTGAAGATGAGGGTGAAGCAGGAGGAGAAACTCAACGCCGCCTTGCAGGCCAAGCGCAGTCTCCACCAGGTAATTATTGACCCCGTGGCACTAGATTTGAGTATAGAGTCTCTGGGTGGCACTCAAATTTAACTCTTCTCCGCTTCTAATGGTCTACCTGGATCTTTGAAGCTCAGGTTGGGTGGTGTTGCGTTACACCTTGACTTACAACAGTTCGTTTAGTGACTGTTCAAAGTTACAGTGGTACTGAAAAGAAGTGACTTATGGCCCTTTTTCACACTTACAACCATGGCAGCATCTCCATGCTCACATGATTTACATTTGGATGCTTGACAGTTGGTTCATATTTATGACAGTTGCATCCTGGGGTCACGTGATCCCATTTTGTGACCTTTCTGTCAAGCAAAGTCAAGGACGAAGCCAGATTTGTAGGTGGGCCTAAGGAGCTTTCCCCCCCCCCCCTTCCCTCTTCCTCCTCCCCCGGGGCCCTTCCGTTGTTAATACGCCTTGTTGTCCCAGGAGCTGGAGTTCCTCCGCGTGGCCAAGAAGGAGAAGTTGAGGGAGGCAACAGAAGCCAAGCGCAACCTGAGGAAGGAGATCGAACGCCTCCGGGCGGAGAACGAGAAGAAAATGAAAGAGGCCAACGAGTCTCGGATAAGGCTCAAGCGGGAACTGGAGCAGGCCCGACAGGTCCGGGTATGCGACAAGGGCTGCGAGGCCGGCCGTCTACGAGCCAAATACTCAGCACAGGTGAGTGTGGCAGCAACGGTGCTCTCTTCCCATCCCGGAACTTGGCTTGCGATGCTCAAGAGACCTCTGCCCTCCCCCCAAAAATTAAAAATCAAGGAAAGCCTCTGAGGTTAGTGGCCCTGCTTTCCGGACCTTTCGACGTAACCCTTTGCGAGAAGGCTCGGTGGAAACACCAAGTGTGGCTCTGAGCATCTCGCGCTCAAATGTCTCCTCCGCCCCACGCGTCTGAGAACTTTTCAATTTTTTGGCCTCGGATTCCCACTCTCGGGTTGAGTCAGACTGTGAATCAACCTTGCAGGAGAGTCTTGTCACCACCAGGATGTCTTTCCCAGCCTCACCTGGTTAACAGAAAAGGCTGCTGGTGAAAACATCCCTTTGAGAGGCCTCTGTAACAGTGGTGGTATTCGGGCGAACCGGTAGTGGCGACCTGCCATCCTATTTAGCTATGTTTTCTAAGCGAACTGGTGGTAAAATTATGTGAAACCCACTTCTGCTCTGTAATGGTCTGTGGGAATGGCCTTGGGAGATGGAGTCAAGGGAATGGACAGATAAGAGACAGCAGAGCCCACAGATGTACAATGGGTGGAGAAACAGGCTCAGAAGAGACCCTTATCTAGATTTTTGGAGCTGTAAAAGGGAAGGAAAGGAAACCTGTTCCATATTTTGTTTAACAATGAAGTAGAATTAGCATAGCTTGTCATGTTTCCTCTCTGGCCTACCTGGCTGACACCTGCCAGTTTCAGGAGAGCCGAGGCAGAAAGTGATGGAAACATGGGACTTCTGAGCCTGGCATCTCCGCCATGAAGCGTTAGATGGGAACTGGGTGCGCCAGGTGGTCACCTCCCACTTGCACAGCTGGGATGTGGCAGGCAGGAGACCCAAATTGCACTGTCTGGCTTTTTCCTGCCAAAGCTCAGCTGCCTCTTCAGGGCTTTTGCAGGTGGCTCTGTCCATTTTCAATTTTCTCATAGTTGCAGAGGAGGGGTTCGGTGTGCAAGCGGCACAAATAATGCGCCGAGTCTTTCTGCCTTAATGCCTAACTACTGTACCAACAGAGGGCTTAAATACGACGAGAGAGAGAGAGTGGGGGGAGGGAGAGGAGGAGGGGGAGACGCTGTGTCTCCTTCCCCGGTAACAACCCAAACCCAGGGCCGGCCTTCAACCAAGAAGGACAAGATTCCAAAAAGCTAGGAGAGAGAGGGAGGCGCTCACCCACCTGCGTGCCCCCCCCATCGCTCTAAGCAGTTCGGGGGACCCCCGCTAACCGTCTTGCTCTGCTGGTCTTGTCCCACCAGATCGAAGATCTGCAGGTGAAGCTCCAGCACGCGGAGGCAGACCGAGAACAGCTGCGCACCGATCTTTTGCACGAGCGCGAAGCGCGCGAGAACTTGGAAAAAGCCGTCAAGGAACTGCAAGAGCAACTCTGGTCAAAGCATAACGATCTGCCCAACAGCGCGCACACCCCGAAAGACCCCGAGAACTGAGACCCACCCACCCACCCACCCGCACCCCGGCCCAAGACCGGTGGAATCCTGCTGTGGCCCGAGGGCCGATCCGTGCATAGTAAGCAAGACTGCGTGGAAGAGGCGTTTCCCCATCCCTGCATGTAGCTAAACCATGGATCTGGTTCTTAAATCGGAGGGCAAATGATGTTACTCTTTATAACGAAAAGCACTGAATTCTGCCTCTTTTTTTTAAAATCCGTATAGCACAACATTTTCCTGTGCCTATAACGTGAAAAGTGTTTATAAATCTACTCTTTTGAGTCTGCAGCAAAAAAAAAAAAAGGAAAAAAAAATTAAAAATGTATTTTTCTTTTCTACTGGGGAAAAAAAAAAAAGAAAAACCTATCCGGTCAGCAGCATTTGTGGAAATAAGGGACAAGCTTCGAGGGCTGCTACAAATATATATATATATAAATATAAATATATGTATGTGTATCCACACACCCACATACGTAAACACAGAAACCCCAACAAGCCCTTTTGTTATAAGCTATTTCAAAATGCAAACCGTTTAAAGTCTAGACGACGTATTAAAAATCATTGACAAGATTTTTTTTTTTTTAAATAAAAAATAAAATATATTATATATGAATGCTGGGGTCAGGGGTGGGATACTTTTGATGCCTAGTGTGTAAACAGGTGTTGGAAAGTGTTTCAGGAAAGAAAAAATAGCCATGAATGATTTCAAATCAAGGGATTTTTTTTTTAAAGGAGAATTTCCAATTTTGGGATTTTTTTTTCCCCACTCCCTTTCTCCAGGTTTCAGCCTCTTTTGTTTTCCCTACGTTTTGATCATTAAAAAAAAAAAGAGAGGATGTTTGTACGTTTAGGAATAGAACTCTGTCCTAAATAAACCCAGCCTTATGAAATTTCAGTGTTTTGTTCCTCGCAAAGACTTGCTTTGACTCCAAAGCACTTCTGAATTTAGCAAACAATAACCCATCACGTCGAAAAAAAAAAAAAAAAGAACGAGAAGGAAGAAGTTCGAATCTGAAAAAAGGAACAGCTGGATCGATTCCCTCCCCCCTCCCGGTTGCTTGCGAGCAAGACGCGGGAACGAGTGAATGGCACACGCGTGTGGGGTTTTTTGGGGGGAGGAAAAAAAAAACCAACCCGCCTTCCGTTTTGCTCAGCGAATTCATTCCACTTTTTTTGATCCACGACCGCCTCCAAATTTTGCAGTGTTTGACTGACGGACTCCTCCTCCGGGACTTGCCGCCGCCACGCCGCAGCCCGGAGAGCGTTGGGTGCCCTTTGAACGAACGAGACTTTCGCCTTTGTATTAAAAGAGACAAAAAGACTTTTGCTGCTGTGAATAAGCCGACTTTTGTTTATTCTTTCGGGATCTCTCTCTCTCTCTCTCTTTTTTTTTTTGGGTTGGTCACGGGGTGGTTTTGTTTGTTTGTTTGTTTGTTTCTCATCTGACAAATGCTTTAATCTTGGGATTGGAAGGTGCCAGCAGTTTCCGCGTCCTAGCAGAGTGCAGCCAGAACATGCTCAGGGGAGGCTTTGCTCTGGCCTGAGCAGAGGGGTCCCCTCCCCAATTTAAGACATACACATAAAAAACACACACAGATTTTTTGGGTGAATGGGGAGAAATTTGAAGTCCCCCCGTCCCGTCCCGTTTGCTCCCGTGCCTCCTTTCCAACCATCTTGTAAAAGCCAGCATGGTTGGCTGGGGAATTCTGGGAGTGGAAGTCCACACGTATCGCATAAAGGACCGGCTGCAAGTGTGCAATGCCTTGACAGCCACTGGGGGCGCAAGGAACACGGGTAACTTGCCCTCCCAGGGGATCGCGAGATCCGCCTTGGCTGCCATATTACAGAATTGTCACGGGTTAGGGTGAGTCTGGAGCTGCCAAGAGCCACTTCACGATCCTCGAAAGATCGGTGGCTCTAATGGTGGAGAGGGAGATGGTGAGGCCTGTCGGAAGCCAGCCACTGACCGTAGTTTGCTCTTAAGCCAGAATCCTTTCCGCCCTACATACCAGCTTGTTTTGCTAGGCTCAATTCCGAGGAGCGACAGCTGTTTCGTAAGGCCCAGCCTATACCAGGATGAAGGAACTGCATTCACACGTCTCGCAAAGCCTAAAGCCAAGAATAAGTTGCGCAAAAGGGAGCAACGTATTCTTGGCTTGTTCGATTTGCTACCCCACCCCCCTTCTCCATGATGGCTTATTTTGGCCCGGTTTGATTGCAGACACGGGCAGGACAGAAAAACACATCAGGATGAAGCCAGAAAAGCCGAAACATTAAGTTTGCATTCCCCTTTTTGCACGTTGCATAAAAGCCATATCTGCAGCTGAGAAGCTGACAACAAACTGGGTTTCAAACTGAAGTTTATTGGCCTAAACCAAACCTTGGGGGTTTTTTTCCCCCCTTGCCACTGCTTGAATATTTTTAACGATGCCAAAACCAAATCAAAGCAACCACATTCTGACTTTACCCAACAAAATTCCAAATTTTCCTTCCCATTTCACTGTTCTTAAAGCACAGAAGGGAAACGTGGTTTTTTTTTCCCCTCCCTCCGGTATTCACACTGCGGCAGCCTGTCCTAAAATTAAAGTATTAATTTGCAGTACACTAAAGGAAAAGAAAAAAAATGTATTAATTTTTTTTTTTTTTAAAAAAGCTGTTATTATCCATTCTAATAGCCATTGTAAGCATGAATGTTGAAAAGGAGGAAAGTACATTTAGGGAAGTGGGTGGGAGACTGGTTAAGCAACCATATAAATACAAAGGAAGATTTATTAGAGAAAAAAAAAAAAGGAATCAGGTTACTTAGGCAAAAAATAAATAAAATACACGAAAAGCACGAAACCGCTCAGCGAACTTGCTTGCATGATACAACTTTTGTCTAAGTTTGAGGTCTCTGCCCTTCTTCCTTTGCAATGAATGGGTTCAGCTCTAAAAGTGCAATGCAAAAAAAAAAAGAAGAAAAAAAAAGAAAAAAAAAGGAATATTGTGTTTATGCAGTTATTTTTTTAATGTGAGGTTTTTTTTTAAAAGAAATTGCTTCTTTGTATGTTTTTTTTTTCCTGCAGTTATTAAAAAGAACATATGCATGAAATTAAAATTTTTACCATACATATATTAACTAAAGGGCATTATTAGTGTCTTATGTAAAACTACATAAAGGTTTTTCTCTCCTTCTTCCCCCCAAAAAGACCCCGTCAGCTGTCTGAATTTTCACTCTCACTCTTGCTTTCTGGTTAACGGTTGACCTGCAAAAAATCAAATTTTTGCAAAATAACGCAAAACTGAGGCTGGTTAGGTCAATGCAATCGTTTTCTTTTTTTGGGGGGTGGTGGAAAAAGGGGGGGGGGCAGGAAATTTCCCATGGATTCCACCCACCCGAGATTGAAAAAGAAATTGATGGCGAAGGGGAAAGAAACCTCTCCGTGCCAGGGCTGTTGAGAGTTGAGTGGTGGGCACCATTGACAGTATATATTTCATCCCCAGGTTCAAAATCCGGGTTACGGTCTCCAACGCAATTTAGCTCGGGAAACACCTCCCCCCCCCACGGAATTACGGGTATCCGTCCCCCCCCCAACACCCGTCTACTTCGGATGGGCCTTTCTGTTTCGCAGCATCGCCTCCCTCCTTCCCTCCCTGTGAAATTGACACGGTGTGGAAGATGTTGCTTTCTAAATTGTGTGTGTTGTGTTTTGTGTCCTTGTGCATTTGGGGTGCGGGTGGGGAGACGTGCCCTCTTGAGACAGCTTTAAAACCAGCGTCCTCGCTCGCTCGCTCGCGTCGAAAAGGGGCTGTAGCAGCCTTTCCGGAGGAGACGTGGGGAAAAGGACCGCGATTCCACCCCGTGGTTGGCGGGGGGGGGGGCCACGATCTGCTTGGAAGTGCCACCGTTTTTGAGGCCCCCCCACCCCGCAACCTCAGCCTGAGATGCCATCATCGGGATGGAGAAGAATTGAAGAGAAGCAGAGGGTACCATCCTGTCTCCCTTGAACCATGATGCTCAATCCGTAGCCCTTTTTAAGACGGGTGGACTTCAACTCCCAGAATTCCCCAGCCAGCTTTGCTTAAAACGGTTTAGCAACCACAGTCTAAACTCTGGTTTTGCTCTCTTAGTTACCTGGTTTAATTTGGAAAGGAGGGGGGGGGGTTAATGGCGTGTATTTTACTCCCCTCCCATTTCCTTACAGAGCCGTATTTGAAAGGGGAGGGGTTTTATTACATATATAATAAACTTATACATAAATATAAATGCAGACATAACGTATCTAAATATTGTATATGCAGTTTAATTCAATTTTTAAAGACATACCCAGCTACATTTTTAACAAGGGGCGGGGATGGGGAAAATATATATATATATATATACCAACAGCAATAAAACATTGATGTCTACGGAGCAGCTAAGAACGATTTAAAAAAAAAAAATCTCCTTTTTCAAACGGAATTTACCCAATGTAAAATAAAAGCATAAAACACTGTAAATACTTCATTTCTAGCTGTATAATAAGTGTATATGGAGTTTCACTTTTTGAGGTTCTGTTCCTTCTTCTTCCTGAGCTGCTTTGTTTTACAACTCAACGCTTTGAAATCGAAGAAAGGTTGAAATTTGTTAGGATCTAATAAAGCCCCACCACCAAGAAATAACCAAATCTATTTTGGAATTTCGACGTCGGTTAAAATCTTTGGTCCCTTTATTGGCGTCTTATATAGTCATGCTTCATTGTATTATATGGTTAAAATAAAATAAAATAAAATGGAGATTTCCTTCTCTAATTCAAGCAGTTTACGTACGAGAGATTTTTTTTTTTTAAAAAAAAGAAGAAACAAAATAATTCCAGTTTCAACGGAGGGACTCAAAACTGCAATTTTTGAATAGATTTTTTTTTTTAAAAAAAATTGAGCACGTTTTTGCCTCTGTCTCACCGCTGCTGCTAACAATTCGATGCCTTCCCTGTTTTAGACTTAATTTTTTATGTAATTAAATGTGCTTGCTTGAGTGACAGAAAAAGAGGGGAAAAGAAATTGGTAACTCTTCGCCCTATCTTTCCCTTTTTTTCCCCCAACTTGGAAACAGAGAATATTGTAACATAAAGGACTTTTATCAAAGTATGTATAAAAATAGCTATGCTTATAAATAACGTCTCAGTGACTTTATGTACAGTGTATAGACTCATTATCGCTAATAAAATTGTCCGGAAAAAATAAATTCCAAACCCCGTAAAAAGTATGTTATTTTTACTATTAAAGTTTACATAATCTCACCAATTGAGTAATCCACGTGATTCAGAAAAAACCCCAATTTCGGGGTATAAAAATTGGGAGTCAACAATAAATGGGTGTTTCTTGAACCTGGAAGACTATCCAGGTAGTCCTTGAGTTACAACAGTTCCTTAAATGACCATTCGAAGTTACAACGGCAACATAATAAGGGGCGAAAAATAAACATATTTCTCTGCACTAGGAACAGAGGTGGTATTCAGCTGGTTCGTACTGGTTCGAGCGAACCGCTAGCAGCGACTGCGGGTGGATGTAATGCCGTCCTATTTAGCCACATTTTCGAGGCCAGGCGCGTGCACGTGAGGCGAGCGTGCGCATGGGGCGAACTGATAGAATATGTGGAACCCACCGCTGACTAGGAGAAATTTGAAATCGGAATTAAGAGCCAATTTTTGGGGATTGTTGCCAGGGGAATTGGAATACTGGCCTTTGGAGAAGTGGACATGGACATCTTGATGGAAATTTTTTTTTTTAATATATGGAATTCGAATGCAGTGAATCTCTTAAGTCTTTTGGTGGGAAGAAAAAGTAAGACGGCGTCTCGTATTCCTCGCCCAAAAATGAGATTCTCAATGGAGGTGACTCAACAGAAGCTTAAACAACCACCTAGCCAGGACATGTTCTAATCTGCAACTACATTTTTTAAAAATTGTGTAAATCGATTATTACGACTTTCTAAGGTAGGAAGGAATTTTTGTGGTTCACAGAAAATGAACTTAATATATTTCAAGAAACAAGTTCAACGAAGCAAAGACCTCGCTCCAAATGTTTGGGGATTTTACTCCTTGCTCGGAAAATGGAGAGGGAAATAAGTACGACCACCTTCTTTTTCTCATTAAGCTTTTTTGAAAACGATTCTACGAAGAGAGGCCCATGGAGGAACCCAGCAAAATTTCACATAATCCGGCACCTCTTAAGTCAGCCGTGTAAATCCGACAAGGCGCTTAACATTTTGATTACACCGCATTACAAAATTGTCCCACAGAGCTTTTCATCTGGCATACATGGATTTGCCCGGCCCTTTTGAGAAATCTGGTGGCGGAGAGTTCCGTAAGTTCATTTAAATAAGGATTCGGTTCTGTCAACCTGGATGAAAACTACCAAGGAGTTTTGGGAGCTGAGATAGACAGTGCCAATCTTCCCACCTAGGTGGAATAATGGCGGGAGGTAGAATTGGGAGTCACTGCCAAGACCTGGGTATCATTTTGGTAGGGCTGAGATCAGTGGTGGTATTTCAGCCGGTGTGAGCGAACCGGTGAAACCCACCTCTGGTTGAGATGCAGAAGATTCAGCTGGTTGGGAGGCTGCAAAAAGGAGTAGGGGTACGATTTTAATCCACTGAGCATCTCTCAGAGGCAATGAGAAGCTCCTGGCTGGTTTTGTCTGATTTAAACTCCCAAGGACTGGCAACCCCAAAGACTTGGCACTGCCATTCACCTCCCCTTCCTGCTTTGAAAGGTGCGCGGTCTTTTGCAGACAGTCTAACATCTGTTTCGCAGACACCTTTACGACACAAATGTGCGAGGATTTATGCCAACTCTTGCCTAGGTGTGAAACCAAAATACACACAGAGAGGCAGCTTCAATGGGCTTTTCCAGCACTCTGGAGGCCGGGTGAATTTATCGAACAATCAACCGAATAAAACAACCATCCTTAAATCATTCCCTTCTGGAGCAGATGTGATCAAATCAGGATTGAACTCAACGCTCTGCCAGTTTCACACCCACTTTAACGGGTTCAAAAGTGATGGGGGGGGGGGAACAGAGAAGATTGACAGGGAACTTGAGAGGACGGTGTGTGTGCGTGAGACCTATAGGGTGGCTTCCTGTTCCTGATTCAGCTAAACAGCAAATTCTAATGGAACTATAATCGCTGTCTTTATTAGGCTAAAGCAGTGTTTTCCCCTCCATCTTGACAACTTTAAGATGTTGTGGACCGCAACTCCCAGAATTCCCCAGCCAACGTGGGAATCTTTTTTTCCAAAAAATTGGGTGGTCCCAATAGGCTGGTGTTGGCCTTTTCTTTTTCTTCATGTGGAACATAACAGTCTGCAGGTTCGACTAGGGTGTTAATGGATGGTAAAGAGAAAGAGAGAAAATGTGTTTACTTACTGAAAGCTAAGATCCTTCCTTCCTTCCTTCCTTCCTTCCTTCCTTCCTTCCTTCCTTCCTTCTCACAAGTTCAACTGCTATAGAGAAAAAAAAAGAAGGATCTTATTGATTCTTCTGCAAACAAATTGCAACTTCTGCTTATAAAACTGTACGTTTGCTGCTATCCCAATCAAACCTGTATAAAGTTTTTTCATCCCGTTTTGGGACGAAGCCAGACATTCCGTGCAAAAAAGGGCAATTCTGAGAGTAAAAGACTGTCCTGTATGAATGCCTAACTCAGGTTTGGTCCAACCTTGGCAACGTTAAAGACTTCTGGCCTTCAACTGCATTCTGTCTGTCTGGGGAATTCTGGGAGTTGAAGTCCACAAGTCTTAAAAGTTGCCAAGGTTGGACACCCTTGTGTCCACCAATCTCTCTCTTTGCTCCCTTGGCGCCTTAGAGACGAGATTTCAATCCCTTGAACGAAGGATGGCAAATGTCTTAACCTGGATGTCTGCTGGTTTCTCTTCGCTTTCATTCTTTTTTCATCTTTTTTGTTGCTTTTATTTCAATCCAATTGTTCAATTCAGTTCAATGGTTTTAATATGGCTGTACACCGCCCTGAGTCCTTCGGGAGAAGGGCGGTATGGAAGTCTAATTATAAATAAATAAGTAAATAAATCCGTAACTTGCTGACTTTCAGAGAACTCAAAATCTCACATACTTTTTTTTTTTTCCCCTTTCCCCGTAACAAATCTCTTTTTTCCCGGTAAAGTCTGGTCCAAGACTGTAATAAAAAGCTATCTGATCTGAATCTCGCATGCCCTTTTAAGTTACGTTGGAGGTTAGAGGGACGTAGGCCGGGGACGAATTCACTGGCAGCGGTTCCAAGGTTTGGGGACAGCTGCTGAAAACCGCTCCCAATGTCTATGCAAGGAAGCCAAGGGCCTCTCTCGACGCTTCAGAGTGTCTTCTAAGTGTCCGTCAGATATGCTGTTTTCCAGTCATAAAGGGAGACAAGCCATCCCCATTAAACCAGCCAGCCTCTCTGACCCAAAGGGGCCTTTGGGGCTAAACATATGAGCTGCCATATTTTGATAAATGACTCAGGGGTGAAATCCAGCAGGTTCTGATGAACCGGTAGTGGAAATTTTGAGTAGTTCGGAGAACTGGCAAATACCACCTCTGGCTGGCCCCAGGAGTAGGGTGGGAATGGAGATTTTGCAATATTCTTCCCCCTGGAGTGGGGATTTTGCGGTATCCTTCCCCTGGAGTGGGGTGGGAATGGGGATTTTGCAGTACCCTTCCCCTGGAGTGGGGTGGGAATGGGGATTTTGCAGTATCCTTCCCCTGCCACGCCCACCAAGCCACGCCCACAGAACCGGTAGTAAAAAAAATTTGGATTTCACCACTGAAATGCCTCCAAGGGTCCATTTGTAAACTAAAGATTCCAAATTCAGAACAAAGGGGTAAAAATAAGTCGCCCACAGTCTCTTTGTTAGTGAGCTGAGTGGCTTATAAAGGTAATGTTATCGATAAAATAAATATTTCGCTCCCCGTTCCTTTTTAATTCCTCTCTGGAGCATTTCCAGTCTTGCCTCCTGCTAGCAAGCGTGGGTTTGCATCTGGAGATTGGTCTGTGCGTGTCTGTGCAATCTCTCTCTGTGTGTGTGAGTGTGTACAATTTTGATCGACTGGTTCTAATCTCCACCTGCATATACCTCATAGGGACAAGCCACAAATATTTCAGCTATTTGATTTATGAGAACCCCAGCAAAAAATTTGCCAGGGGAGATATCCTGTAAGTACCATGATTGATGGCTTCTTCAAAACCTCATAGTTTTTAACACTCCTGCTCATGTGGTTCTCTGAAGTGGGGAGAATTATGGGGGGAGGGAGGGCGGGAGGGAAGGAAGGAGGTGGAAGGAAGGGAGGAAAAAAGGAAGGAGGAAGGAAGGAAGGAAAGAAGGAAGGTGGGAGGGAGGGAGAATGAAAGATGGAAGGAAGGCAGGAGGAAGGAAAGAAGGAAGGAGGGGGGGAGGAAGGAAGGAATGAAAGGAAAGGGGGAAGGAAGGAAAGAAGGAAGGAAGGTGGGAGGGAGGGAGGAAGGAAGGAAAGAAGGAAGGAAGGAAAGAAGATGGGAGAGAGAGGGAGGGAAGGAGGAAGGAAGGAAAGGAGGTAGGAAGGAAGGAAAGAAGGAAGGAAGGTGGGAGGGAGGAAAGAAGGAAAGAAGGAAGGAAGGAAAGAAGATGGGAGGGAGAGAGGGAGGGAAGGAGGAAGGAAAGGAGGTAGGAAGGAAAGAAAGAAGGAAGGAAGGTGGGAGGGAGGGAGGAAGGAAGGAAGGAAAGAAGGAAGGAAGGAGTGAATAAGAATAGTGAGGAAAGAGACAGAAGGAGGAAAAAAGGAAGCCCACTCCTTCAGCTTTTCTGTCTTTCTGGAAACAGGAAGACTATTAAAAGCACAGTATTAACTATAGCTTGATTTTTGCATTTTTTTTTCCTCCAAAGAAGACTTAATATGAAAAAAAACCCCAAACATTTGTGTGATGGGGGGCAGGAAAAACTTAAGTCCACTATATATCTCCCCCGACCTCCCTCCCTCATTTAACAGTGATGTTCACGTGGGGTTTTCTTTCCCCCTTTTTCAAATCTTCTCATCGTCCCCAACATTATTTCTTATATCACTCTCTCTTTTTCCAGAGGAGCCGGGGGCTAACGATTCAAGAACAAAACCTCCGCCGTTAAATCCCGATTCAAAAATCACCCTGAACTCCTTCGAATGGGGGGGGGGGGGAAATTGGACTGGAAAAAAGGAAATCCGCTGATTTATCTGCAAAAAATGCAGAGTGGAAAGAGATCACTTCCAAAGCTGCAAAGAGAAAAAAAAACAAAAAAAAACCCAAAACACCAGCAGAGTGATTCAAACTAGCGACATTTGCTTCTCGATCAGAAAGCGATTTTGAATTCTTTCTGGCTTCTCGTATGAACCATGCTGAAAATTCCAGATTCAGAATACAACTTTTATTCCCCCCCCCCGTCTCTTTTCAAACTTTCACTGAAATAATATGACATCAGTGCTGTCCTTCTGATCACATTCACAAGCTAAGTGCCGTTTCTTCAACCCAGGAGGAAAGATTTCTGATCTTCCCCCAGCTATTAAGACAATTCTTTTTTTCTTCTTCTTCTGATTTCATAGAGGGTCTCTTAGCGAGAACCTTCCTTCAAAACATAAGTTATTATTTCCAAACCTCAAATGTCCGCCCCCCAAAAATATAGATTCTGCATAGGTTAATCATGTCTCGGGAAGATTCAGTAAACCAATTTTCTTTTGGTAAAGCAAAATACGACCTCGGTTGCAATTCCCTCTGTTCTTTGACGCAGAATGGTTGAAGAGCGGTTGCAGGAAGTGGGTACATCTAGGAATTGGGTAGCTCCATTGTGGTACTAAGTCAAGAACTATCTGCATTTAACTAAATTCGGTAGCAACCTAAACACTGAGTGTTTTTACAGTAGGGTCTCCTGCTTGGAGGGTTGGACTAGATGACCTACAAGGTCCCTTCCAACTCTTGTTAATCTGTTACGCTTAAGGGTCATGGCAGTCCTTGAAGACTGATAGAGGAAGATTCCTTAACCTGAGAAACGATGCCTGGGTGACTTTGAAAAGATGTTGAGACTCTGGAAAGAGTGCAGAGAAGAATTGGGGGTGTCTAGTTTAATGAAAAGAAGGACCAGGGGAGACATGATAGCAGTCTTCCAATATCTCAGGGGCTGCCCCAAAGAAGAGGGAGTCAAGCTATTCTCCAAAGCACCTGAGGGCAGGACAAGAAGCAACGGGTGGAAACTGGAGCAGAGCCTCAGTGGTGCAGCGGACTAAAGTGCTGTTAAGTGCTAGCACTTAGCTGCCAGCTGCCTGCAATTAGTACAAGTTCGAATCTCACCAGGCTGAAGGTTGACTCAGCCTTCCATCCTTTCGAGGTAGGTAAATTGAGGACCCAGTTTGTGGGGGCAATAAGCCAGTTTTGAATAGAACAACACCGCTTGGGGGGGCTGAAAGCCCTAATAAGCAGGTATATACAAAAAAGTATGCAGACTATTGCTATAATGCATTGTAAGCCGCCCTGAGTCTACTGAGAAGGCCGGCATATAAATTGGACTAATAAATAAATAATAAATAAATAATCAAGGAGAGAAGCAACCTAGAACTAAGGAGAAATTTCCTAACAGTGAGAACAATTAATCCGCGGAACAACTTGCCACCAGAAATTGTGAATGCTCCAACACTGGAAGTTTTTAAGAAGATGTTGGATAACCATTTGTCTGAAGTGGTGTAGGGTTTCCTGCCTAAGCAGGGGGTTGGACTAGAAGACCTCCAAGCTCCCTTCCAACTCTGTTATTCTCTTATATTCTGTTAGATGAAAATTAACTTCTAAGTTGCTAGGCGGTTCCCGACCTCAGCTGGATAAATTCCCTAACTTCAACTGCTGGAAGAAGGAACATCTGCAGCCACCATTTCACTTAGAAGAAATGGCATTGGCTGCCAAGCTGATGTGGCCATGAAAATATGTGGAAAGAAAATGAAAAAAATAAAATAAAATAAATAAAAATCTGGTAAGGCTGAAGTCAGAACTGGGCGGAATCGGCGGGGAAGGCGGACTGAAAAAATATTTGGTGGACGCCAAGATGACGAAGATCAAAAAGAAGGAAGAGGGTGGAGTGGGTGACAACGAAGGCTCAGTTTTCTAACAAAAATATTATTCCGTTGACATGAAAATACGGATTATTTCACACATGGAAGGCTGCAGCAGGGCAGAACTAATTTGGTTCTGTCTAAATACAGAGGGGAAAATAAAAAAGCAACTTTGAGGGGAAACGTCAAGGCAATAAATCCCGATTCTGCAGGGAGAGAGAAACTGGCAACTGCTCATCTGTGGATGAGCATCTGCAATTCCCAGCAGGGCAGAGGTGATGTGAGGCATGCTGGGAGTTGTAGTTTGACGATTGGACGTCTATAAGATCATAGAGTTGGAAGGGGCACCTTAGAGGTCTTCTAATCCGACCCCCACCGTCCAATGGCCGTGTCTCAACTGTCAATTTTGGCC